AATTATATTAATTTATAAAAAATTCATCAATAAAAGAGGAACAGCGTCAAGAAAGATAATATTGAAATATATTGAATGTAAACTAATATAATTACTAATCTAGCATATTTGCTTTAAATCTGTATAAGTATATTTGTATTCTGATTTTCATTCAAATTTGCGCTCATCTTCACAAATACAACACTTTGCTAAATTTCTGGCAATGTTGGTCTATGATATGTGAAAGGTACCCTGATATTTCATTCCACTACATGGTGGTTTAAAATAGGAATTTTACTGCATAACTTCTTTAATGTTTCAATAAATGTCAATCTGTTTAACAGTAAAAAAATTACACTTATAAAATTTTCCTTTTTAACAACATCTTACCAAATCTTTAAAAAAAAAAAAGAAATAAACACATACAAAATTCTAAATTAATTTTGTTAAAGCATTAATCTGTTTGATTAAAATCAAGTTAAAAGTCCATTTGCAAATGTTATGTAGAAAAATATTAACTGCTAATGCTTAATCTAATGCTTAAGTTTCCAAGACAAACATATGCCAGATATTTTGCCTATGAAGCAGGTAATTTCATTCATGCCAGTTAGTACAAACTGTTTGAGTCTTCTTCAAAGTGTACTCTGCAGGATAAAAGAGAACAATTTTATACAAAAGAAATACATAGAGTGAAAAAGAAATGGCAAAGAAAATATGTGCACATAAAACAACACACATAAAATCATCCATTATGTGTTCACTCAATAAACCACGTATAATGATTGGCTATTGTTCATGTATACCAACCTACATGGCTTGTGTGGTTTTAATTTTGTATTTAGTTTCAGCAGGGAAACAAATATGACAATATAATTGTTTTTACCAAATGTGAATATTAAGTCTGTATAATTTTTCCAATTATGACTTTATTATTTTTGTTATTTTATTAACTTGATCATCTGGGAGGGAAAGAGTTATTAATTGTTTATAATATTAATGAATCCAAAAAATGTAATGAGTAATTGTATCCCAATAGGCTTAGGCACTGCAAATGCACTTCATAATTTCACATTTTTCAATTGCACTGCAAATGCACTTAATAATTCCAAATTGTTTTAATGGCACTGCAAATGCACTTCGTAGTTCCAAAGTTTTTAATTTCAGCTGTGGGCGATTTGGCAGCAGATCACTTTGCACTGATTTGGAGCACCAACCATTTAGTAAGTAATGGCACATTATCCTCATATAGCAGGTCCTTTGCAGAACATCACTATCATCACTGTCTGCCTGAAAGAAACTCGGTCTCTCACCAGCTATTCCGCCTCATGTACTTTCATATTCAAGAAAGTCACTTATATCGTGTGCCCACCTTCATGTTACGATGCCTTCTTCTGTTATTTTTTCCAGTCCGCCGTGGCACTTGATATGACCAAACTACTTCAGCTTTCGAGACAAGATGATGTTTATTAGCCAACCTTCAAATCTTTTAAAATGTAAATATTTCTTCTCTTCTTTAAGATATTTTGAGAATCTTTCTATAGCATAGCTCAAAAGCCCCTATTTTCTTTCTTAATTACTGGGAGATAGTCCACAACTCAGATTTGCCTGTTGTTATAGAAAAGATGCATGCTCTCAAAATTTTAATTTCGATTTCCTTGCTGGTGTTTAACAATATACTTTTAATGCTAATGGCAAACCACTGAATGTAAAATTGCCTAGTAAAATCACAAAATAGCAAAACAAAAATACAAATTACAAAAAAAAAATGCTGGGGTTGGTTTAACAATGTCCCTATAGAGGATGCATAACTGAATTTACTATTCATTCACCCAAATGAAGTTATCATTTACTGTTAAAAGAATTTTCCTCACTGAGATGGCGCTGTGAAGGTGAACTCAGTAAAAGTTAGCAAAAGTCAGCTTAAGAGTGGATAAGTGAATAACTTTTTGTTTAAATGGCATACATGCAACAGAAATTTACATTGAATAATAAGAATAAAACAAAGTTACAACTGTCTTTGAGTTAAGACAAGCAGGTGCTGGGGGCAATAAAAGTTTGGATAGTATTGCTGGCGCTGTCATAATACCAGAGGATGACCTAATGGACTGAACTGACACTTAAAAAATAAAAAAAAATATAAAAAAACCAGAAGTGAGAATACAAGGTTTTAGATTGAAAACTGGAGGAGCCAGGAAAGAGCAGCACATTAGATGGGAAAGGAAGAGGCTTTTCAATAAAAATTGGATAAGCACTGTTAGTCACTGAATGCTGATAGTGTCGGCACTTCTGGCAGCTGACTTATACACATTTTGCCCTTATTTTACCCTTATCCACATTAAATGCACGCATGGCTGTTTAATTTAGCCAGGAATTCTGTCTTTTTTTCATGCGACAATGATAGACATTTGTGTGACTTTCACTGGCACAGGAACAGAGCAATTATGTAGTGACCATTTGCCCTAAAAGCGGCGTCTGTGGCTTAGGTGTTGCGAGTCCAACTCATAATTCCAACCTACCGCTATTGGAACCCACTGCTGGTTGCATGGATTTTTATCATGGTAGGGACGTCGCAGGTCGACCCAGCCTAAAATGGCTATCAAGATTTATGTCCTGGGAAAGTAAAGATAACCAGCGTAATGCTGACCACATTACCCACCCAGTGCCAATTGGTCTCTAAAAATATGGGTGCTCTTCCCATATGCTTGATGCGCTTACAAATGTGAAAAGAGATCTTTACTTTACTTTTTACTTTGCCCTAAAGTTGAAACCTGGTAAGTGGCAAGTTAGTAAGTGAACGTGGGAAGATTTAAAACACTGTAAAGCTTGAATACTAAGGTTATGTCCGGACTTCAGTGATAATAACAGGAACTGAAATAAATTACTTTATAATATTTTGGTCGCACAATATTCAGAAATATAACTACATATAACACTTGAGTTTAAAATTTCGACATTGCCAAAACAGCAATAATCAAACATATAAAGAAAAATGTGCAAATAATCAATTTACAGATAATGAAAAATCTGGACACTCACCACAGCTTCTTCTTCCTCTTGCTCCTCTTCAGCAGCAGTCATTTCTTGAGCATTTGCCAGGTTGTCTACAGCGATAGCCAAAAACACATTCAGCAGTGTGTCTGAGGTGGTGGTTGAGAAAAATTTCCATCTGGCTATCAAGCCCTGGCCATCTCATGCTGCTAAATGTATATATTTGTTTCCTTTGCTCTTATGTCAACCATGGGTTTATAAGTAAAAGTAAAGGACCCTTTTCCAGGTCTTTAGGCGTATAGGGCATATAGGGCTGGTCCTACACTTTTATAGACCAATCGTCACAAGATGGGTGATGTGGTCAGCATCACGCTGGTCGCCTTCACTTCCCAGGACTGCCCCTGGTACCCACTCAAGGCTGGGTCTACCTGGGAGCCAAGGTCATTTTTCAAAAAAATCTGGCTCTGCCAGGAAGCGAACCCACCACCTTCCAATCCGCAAGCGAGAGTCTAGCCGCAACTCCATGGCGACTCCCAACCATGATTTATAGTAATATTAAACAGTGTAGACAATAAATTAATTATATATTTTAACAATATGCTTACAAAAATAATTATATCTGAATGGTATTTCTGCGAAATTTATTTACAAGAATGATACAGGTAACTAGATGAATTGATCAGGATGGGAACAAAGTTCCGGGAATTCTGAACTCTCATGGGATTACTGTGGAAGATTATCCTCTTAATACAAGCTCGTCTTACTAGTCAAATTCATTATTGTAATGGGCCCTGGTTTCCCTGTCTCTGTCTTCAGCACCATAGAGCACCTTCATCTCTTGAATGTTGAATTAAGAATCAACATTACAGCACTCGTGACTCCCCAGTCCCCATCTTCAGCAGCAAGAGTTCCAATTCCGATGGTATCAGTAACCGTCTGATTGTACATCTGTCTTCTTCCTTCCCCTGAGTGTTGAGTGTCGACCAGATCCCCTGGTAACTCCTCACATCGTCATTCTCCTTAGACCGTAATGATCTGTCTGCACCTCTGTACTGTTCACTCGCTCCCAAAAGGACCTCACAATATCTAACTTGTCATACATCAATTCACAACCAAGTGGTGCAGAACCTGCCAGTCTATCTGCCTGCTCATTTCCCAACACACCAGCATCATTTGTTGAACTTCTGATTCTGCAGCACTAGCTGGCCAGTCTCTGCACTCACAACATCCCCATCACCTGGAAGCACGGAAAAGTGAATACCAAAGTCTGAGATCCCAATTTAAGTCCCAAATATTTTTTTTTGGGGGGGGGGGGGAGGGAATAAATAGACCCGCTACCCCCTTACAAGCATGTCACAAGAGTCAGCTAATCAGGGAAAAAGTCTGCTTAAAAAAGCAAAAAGCCACCTTTACTTCCCAGGACTTTATCTGGTGTCTATTTAAGGTTGCATCAACATGACAGCCCAAGTCATTCAACAGAAAAAAAAAAGTCAGGCTCCTTTTGCATTTGAACTTATGACCTCTTGATCAGGGATGAGCATTTAGCTGCTAAATCACAGTGGCTTCCTTCTGACCAGAGAGAGATGGTATTATTGATTTAAAAAAAAATATCTACAAGGTATATTCTATTTGACTTTTTAGTTATTCAAATAAACTTGTTTAATAATGGTTGTTCGTCCACTTCTGGACTTTGGTCTTGTTCCAGAACTTGAGTTTTGCATGCACACCTGTTTTACAGATCTCGCTTATTTTATTTGTATGCAGACAGTTGCTCACCTCTCTAGCAGATGCACTCCTACTCTGAAAGGAAACTCTCTTAATTGGTTGCCATGTAGGTCATGCTTGTTAGGGAAGCAGTGGGTAATTAACACCCCCCCCCCACCCCGCCCCCCCCCCCTTCAAAAATAATTGTGCCCTGGAACCCACACAGGAAATACTGATGGTGTCAACTGATAATGAATATCTACTTGAGCATAGATTTCAATTAATGGCCAGTTTGGCTGATCACAGCCAAAAACTTCATAAAAGGATACAGTTGCCAAAGAGGACCAGGACAATAAAATAGGCAGAAAAGAACATTCCCTGCTTTTTGATGCCGCCATGAGCTTCTATTCCTTTGTACATGACCTCATTCCAATCTTCTCCAGTCAGAATCTGTCAGACATAAGAACACGGTTAGGTTCATGTAAATCTCCCATAACAAAGTAGGTCACTTTTCATTCACAAGTTTGTTGGGCTGAGTTGACTTTCCTGAGGATTACGGGTGTGTCTCGCTATGTTGTTTGCTTTCTGCGTTGTCCTGCATTAAAATTTGTATTTAAAAAAAAGAGAATGCCTGTGACATAGGTTGCAACACTCTCTAGGGGTGTTATGTTAGGGCCAGTTTCTCCATGTTAAAAGCGCCAGCTTGCTGAAATATACAACACGCAATATCAAGGGCGTTGCGGAACATCTCGGTAACCTTGTGTCAAGGTGACAGGTTCAGGAACTACCAGTCAAAAGTGAGCTAGTGTTTATATGGGCGGAGAGTAAAGAGACTAACGTTACTTTAACCAAGAACACATATAATACAGGCCAAATTTCTATGACAGTTGTGTATGATGAATGAATGAATGATGATGATGAATGTGTATATTTTAGGGTATTTTAATCTACAATGAATATTACTGACAGACAGACAGACAGACAGACAGACAGACAGACAGACAGACAGACAGACAGACAGACAGACAGACAGACAGACAGACAGACAGACAGACAGACAGACAGACAGACAGACAGACAGACAGACAGACAGACAGACAGACAGACAGACAGACAGGCAGACAGGCAGACAGACAGACAGACAGACAGACAGACAGACAGACAGACAGACAGACAGACAGACAGACAGACAGACAGACAGACAGACAGACAGACAGAGGGATGGAAGAAACTAACTTTATTTTCAAAGGGCATGCAAGCCAGTCTTATATTCAGCCCTTCCAAACAATCACACAGACACAACCAATAGACACAATACAATACATACAGACAGACACAGCATAAATAGGCACAGCACATACATATATAAATAACACACACAGACACAACACTACACTCACAGATACAACATACAGTCACAAACACAGACACAACACATACAGACAGACACACACACACACACACACACACTTACACAGACACAACACTACACACACACACACACACACACACTCTCTCACAGACACAATACTCACAGGCAAACACACTCACAAGATGGGGATAAAGCTTCCTTTTTTAAATTTCAATCTTAGAAGTGATGCCACGTTGTAGCCCAGTCTCGTGTACGGGGACACTGCTTGTATGGGAATCTTCAGAACGCACTGACATCAATTCTTAATTGATTAATTAACTGATTTATTCTCATGTCACAGCCCTAATCTATTTTTTCAACTTCAGCCCCTATATAAAATATATCCTACACACAAATCTGCTCTCTGACTGTGAGTTTTACAAAAATATACAGGTTTTAACAAAACTATATGAGTTTAATGAAACAAATCAAGTACCTGAAATACTGTGAGCAATGCTATAGGGAATGTATCAAAGTGGGCAGATGGCCGACCATCTTCAAAATTCATTCTGCAAGTAATTAAACAGGACATTTAATGAAAGGTATGAATAAAATCAAAAAGTATTATTTCATAATTATTTATACATCTATTAAACAGGCTGCTGAAAAGGCTAAATATCAGTATAAATTCTGTTCACACAAAAATATTTATTACGTGATTGATTTTGGTTTACACCACACTTGTGGTAGTTAGTCGACAGATTATCCTCATTGCACGTCGAACCAAACAGTCCATAAGTGCTCAGATCCCCTCCTCAGTAAATATCGCAGCCTGTAGCGGCTAACGACACCAGGTTTGTGTTGGTTTATGATTCTTCTTTCGCTACCCGCCTAGTGTTCTTATTTGGCGACACCCCGTTTAACATATTGTTCTTGCAGTCTGACCATGGAGCAGATTCACAGTTTTCAGTTGGTTCCTGCAAACGTCTTAACTCTCTTAGAGCATTCAGTATATCAGACTGGTCCATGGCTTTTCTGGCTTTCACAGTAGCCTTACCTGCAAGCCTATCAGCTGGCTCATTTCCTTGTGCACCTACATCTCCTGGTATGAAAATTTAACTAATCTTTATCAGTCGTAAATTCTGTAGAGCCACCAACCACTGCCTTCTGACCCAGCCCTTCTCTATCTTCCTGAGCATACTCATTGAGTCACTGAGAAAGCTGGCCCAGTGAGAGTCTGTGTCTCTAGCCTTGTTACTGCTTCAGTCACAGCCATGACCTCCACAATCAGACTACTTGTAGTTACAGCAACAGCTGCAGAATCTTCCTTCTCAACTCTCCCTCTCCCTCATCTCTTTGAGATGACCAAACTTTCTGCTTTCTTAAAATTTAACTCTATTCATAGTTTCTCCCTGTGCATAACCATTGTCCCCACTAAATGCTGCAGCTCCTATTCATTTTTCACATCTCTTCACAATTTTGAGCCCAACGTAAATAGAATGATGTGAGGCAGATTTTCTAACCCTCAGCCATCCATTTGTGTGCCATATGCACATCCACTTCTTGATTTATTTCTTCTTCTCTGGTTTTGTTCTGCCTATCAATGTCAGGTTTTTAAACAGGCATTGGGTGCAAGAGTTAGTATGTGCTACATAGAAACTGGTATTTACAGCCTCAGATATTCCATCTATTTATTATTTGCATGGTCGACCTCTAGTTCTGCTTAGATTATATCTAGGTGACAGGGCTCTCAGTGTGCATTATCTGTGGTAATTTTCATAGATGTCCAACCGTTTTCATTTTTGTCTCTTAAAGTAGTTTAGTACTGGTTCTGTACCAGCTTCTTTCTTGATTTTGTCATTTCTAATTCTGTCTTGTCTGGTCACATTTAGAATTTGTTGTAGACATTTCATTTCTTTAAACTTTTTTTTTTTTTTTTTTTTACATTTGTTGTTAATGTCCGTGTTTGGCACTGATAACACACTGTTGGTAAAATTGTTTAATGAAAGTAAAAATCTGGCACTGGAAGCAACAACTGGAAAAACTGGAAAAAAAAAAGCAACAACTACAATACTCACTCTCCTCCAAAAAGCTGCATACCAAGCAGGGCGAAGACAATGATGAAGAGGAAGAGGAGGAACAGGAGACTGAGGATGGATCTCATACTGCTGAGCAAGGAGATGACCAGATTTCTCAAGGATGACCAGTACCTGCAGACAATCAGGCATACCAAATATTAATTTCATTGGCTGTAAACTATGATGGAAAGTTCTGGCTATTTTCCACTTCGGGATTTTGATCTTGTTCCAGAAACTGAGTTTTACATACATATTTGTTTTACTGATCTGCTTATCTGTATTCAGATTGTTGGTTTCTTACCCTCTCTGACTAAAACCCCCCCCCCCCCCCCCCCCCCCCCCTCCTCAATGGGGCCTCAGAAACCATGTGAGATATTTGTAGTAATCTACAAATAATAAGTTTTATTAATAAAGAAGACTGGCTTATACTCATTTTACTGTTTTAGAAATTTCAGGTCATGAAAAAAAAAATAAATTTAAATATGATTTAGAATTGTCTGTTTTGTTTAGACAGAATTTAATAAAAATCTTGGAATTGTTTAAAAAAAACATAAGTAGCTTTTTTTTCCTTCTAAATTTGTGGGGTACTTTTTATGTGATTGTTTCCCCCCCCCCCCCCCCCCCCCCTCTCCGAGTATCTTTTTGTGTGTGTTTTGATGAGGGCATCCATTCTATCAATTGTAGCTGTGTTGTTATAAAGCTGATTAGTTCTACTTTATGTTTGTTCGACTGATTACTTCGAAGGATAAATACCAGAAATATGAAATACATATCCAGTGTCAGTGGCTGCAACATGACAGTGACAGCCACATGTACTTTTAACATTGTCTAATGATAATTTTCCTGACTTTACAATCCAGATACCCTTTCATTAGAACTCTGTGCAAGGAGCTGAAGATGGGGATGGAGCACTTAAGGAAACATCCTGAGTGCTGTGATGCTGGTGCTTAACTCAACAGTAAGGGTAAAAAGTAAATACAAACCGGGTCACTTTGAATATCCTCAGCAGACGCAGAGCTCTGAGAACACTGATACCGAATGAGGAGCCAGTCTTGAACTCTGACCAAATCACCTCTACTATACTTCCTACGATGACCTGAAATAATAAATAAAGCTATTTGAATTTCAAATTATTATTTTTACATCTTTAAAAATGTTAGGTTTATATTTTAGAGGTTCAACTTCATTGCACCAGGTTCTAACCATATAGGGCTCAACTGCTCTCTGCAGATTTCTTAGCTTGCAGAGAGTATAGCAAAAAGAACAGATTCCCCAGCTCCAGCAACAGAGATCTATGTGAAACCTGCACTTCTCATCCAAAATAATGTAGTCTGTGAAACGAACCCATCCTCATCAAACACATATTAGTTTTCAGCAGATAATTTCTCCCATCGCCAAAAGCCACAAAACCGACCGCCTCTATGTTCGGATTCTGAACAATGTATTTTTTTAAACAAATCTTGGTCTATGATACTGTTATTTAACCCTCATGCTCAGAAAAACTGCAAAAACCGACACTTCCAGCTGGTGCCAATTCTCCATAAATGTCACTTTTCCGACTTATTTATAATTACCCTTTGGAGAGACATGTAGTTAATGCTATTAGCTAAGTTTGTGTCTGCACAAATCTTTATGAAATCAGGATATATTAAGTGAAAATAGCCAAGTTGACGTCAAATTTTCTTGTAAGCCTCAGTGATTGAGGTTTTAGGGCTTGGCAAGATACCTTATACACATATATCTAGGCAGTGGCAATAAATTCTATGTAATGCTTCACTCTATTCTATATTACACTTTTTATGTACCTCTATACATTAGAAAAGAAAAGGAGTAAAAAATGTACCTAAATTATTTTCTTAAAATTTATTAGTGATCTGTGTAAATGTGTACTTTTTAAAAAAAGAATTTCCATGGGAATCATTTTTTAGTGTTACCATGACGAGTTAATTAACTTATAAGAACATTTTGTAGCGCAGTAGCTACAGGCTGTGCTCCTCTACAGGCCTGAAGGTCTTGGATCCAATCCACACTGAGCCAGATTTGTTTCTCCTTCTTTTTTCTTCTTCTCCTTCCTCTTTTTCTTCTCCTTCCTCTTTTTCTTCTCCTTCGTCTTTTTCTTCTTCTTCCTCTTTTTCTTCTTCTTCCTCTTTTTCTTCTTCTTCCTCTTTTTCTTCTTCTTCCTCTTTTTCTTCTTCTTCCTCTTTTTCTTCTTCTTCCTCTTTTTCTTCTTCTTCCTCTTTTTCTTCTTCTTCCTCTCCTTCTTGTCCTTCTTCCTCTCCTTCTTGTCCTTCTTCCTCTCCTTCTTGTCCTTCTTCCTCTCCTTCTTGTCCTTCTTCCTCTCCTTCTTCTTCTTTTTCTCCATCTTCTAGTTCTCCCTCTCCTTCTCCTTCTTCTCTCTCCTCCTCCTTCTTCTCCCTCTCCCTCTCTTCCTCTCCCTCTCTTCCTCTCCCTCTCTTCCTCTCCCTCTTCCTCTTCTGCTGCCTCTCCCTCCTCCAGCTTCTCCCTCCTCCAGCTTCTCCCTCCTCCAGCTTCTCCCTCCTCCAGCTTCTCCCTCCTCCAGCTTCTCCTTCCTCCTCCTTCTTCTTCCTCCTCCTTCTTCTTCCTCCTCCTCCTTCTTCTTCCTCCTCCTTCTTCTTCCTCCTCCTTCTTCTTCCTCCTCCTTCTTCTTCCTCCTCCTTCTTCTTCCTCCTCCTTCTTCTTCCTCCTCCTTCTTCTTCCTCCTCCTTCTTCTTCTCCTTCCTCCTCCTCCTCCTTCTTCCTCCTCCTCCTTCTTCCTCCTCCTCCTTCTTCCTCCTCCTCCTCCTTCTTCCTCCTCCTCCTTCTTCTTCCTCCTCCTCTTTCTTCTTCCTCCTCCTCCTTCTTCTTCCTCCTCCTCCTCCTTCTTCTTCCTCCTCCTCCTTCTTCTTCCTCCTCCTCCTTCTTCTTCCTCCTCCTCCTCCTTCTTCCTCCTCCTCCCTCCTCCTTCTTCTTCCTCCTCCTCCTCCTTCCTCCTCCTCCTCCTCCTCCTTCTTCCTCCTCCTCCTTTCTCTTCCCTCCTCCCTCCTCCTCCTCCTCCTTCTTCTTCTTCTTCTTCTTCTTCTTCTTCTTCTTCTTCTTCTTCTTCTTCTTCTTCTTCTTCTTCTTCACATTCACTGGTTGTAAACTTTGGCAGAAAGTTCTAATTGTTTGGCCACTTCTGGAATTTAGTCTGATTCCAGAACTTAAATTTTGCATGTAAATTAGTTTTACAGATGTGCCTTGAATGTATGCAGAAAGTTGGTTTCTTGCCTCTCATGCAGATGCACTTTGTAGAAAACACACCTAATTAGTCAACTTTTACAATTAGCTTTTTAGTGGATTGGCAACATGCAATAGTTATACCATTGTGGAAGAACAAAGGAAGCAAACGAGAATGCGGTCAATATGGAGGCATCTCTCTTTTAAGCCATGTTGGCAAAATGTATGCCAAGATAATAGAAACAAGACTGAGACCAGTGATAGAACCACAGCTGGCAGAAGAACAGATGGTATTTAGGAGAAATAGAAGCTGCACAGATGCAATCTTCACACTTAAACAGTTAATAGAAAAGAACATTGAATACAATAGGAACTTATTTGTGGCATTCGTAGACCAGGAGAAGGCATTTGACAGAGTCGACAGACAATTATTATGGAAAATAATGGCAAGATATGGAGTAAGCGAACACCTCATCGAAGTGTGCAAAAGTTTATACAGGGATTGTAGAAGTGTAGTTAGAATAAATCAGGGAACATCTCATCCTTTCACAGTGACATCTGGAGTAAGACAGGGTTGTGTCTTATCACCACTGCTGTTTATCACCTACATCGACAGTATATGCAAGAATGCCAAGCCCATGAATGAAGATCTTAGTAAGATCAACGAATTACTCTTTGCAGATGACCAGGCCTTGATAGCAGATACAGCCATGAAATTGCAATAACATCTAACATCCATGAATGAAGAATGTAAAATTAATAATATGAGAATCAACACTGAAAAGACAGAAGTAATGTCAATAGGAAAAAAGAAGACAGATTTAAACATAGCAATAGAATACAAAGGCATTAAACAGGCATCTGAGTTTAAATATCTGGGAACTACATTTACCGAAGATGGGAAATTGGATAAAGAAATTGACATTAGAAGCAGTACAGTAAACTAAGTATTGGGACAGCTAGCCCCCCTCTTACAGCATAAGACAATCCCAATCAGCACAAAGAGACATCTTTTTCAAAGCATATTTATACCAACTCTGTGCTACCAGTGCCAGACATGGTCACTCACAACAAACCATAAAAGAAAATTAGTAACCACGGAAATAAGATGTCTGAGAAGGGTTGTAGGAGTGACCATAAGAGATAAGATCAGGAATGAGATCATAAAAGAACAAGTCGGCACAGAGCCAATTCTGGATTACATACAAAGACAGCAAGTGAAATGGTTTGCCCACTTAGAGAGAATGCCTTGTGACACCATACCATACAAAGCAAACATGGAAAGAGAAGAAGGACGTAGAGCACAGGGTAGACCAAGAACAAGATGGAAGGATAACATCAGAGAAACTCTACAGCAGCACGATGTGACTATGGTCAAGGCAGCCAGAAGAGCTAGAAACAGAACCTTATATCTCCCTCGACACCCACAGCGGTAAAAGAGGAAGTGAAGAAGAAGAAGAAGAAGAAGTGGAGCAGTGGGTCTATCCTCCTCCCCCCTTCCCCCATAATGGAACCACCCCATAACCTACAAGAGAAAGATTTGTTTCAAAATGGATACCAGGAAAATGTAACTTATTAAAGAAATTACAATAACTTATTACAGAAATTAAAATAAATCTAGACAGAAGTATCTTATTACAGAAATTAAAATAAATCTAGACTGAAGTAATTTATTACAGATTTTTGAATGAATCCAGACAAGAAAATTATTACAGAATTCGAACTAAATCTAGACACAAGTGATTTAAAAATAGACTTTAAAATAAATCTAGACATATGTAATTATTACAGAATATTAAATAAACATAAGACAGAATAAATTTATCACAGAATATCCCAAAACTGTGGAGCACAGGGACTTACCACACAGTCAAATATATTGAAAGACGATTGGAAATAGATACGGACTCCTAGAGCATACATCTTGATGGACATCTCAAATATAAACAGGCCTAGGAAGGCGTACTCTGATATGTCTGAAACAATAAATAATTTAAAAATGCAATTTGCAGTCTGTCTCAATGTTTGTTATTTACTGTCTGTCATAATGTCTGTCATTTATTAACTGTCTCAATGTCTGTCATTTATTGCCTGTCTCAATGTATGTCATTTATTGCCTGTCCTAATGTCTGTCATATATTGCCTGTCTCAATGTCTGTCATTTATTGCCTGTCTCAATGTCTGTCATTTATTGCCTGTCTCAATGTCTGTCATTTATTGCCTGTCATAATGTCTGTAATTTATTGCCTGTCTCAATGTCTGTCATTTTCTGTTTATTATAATGTCTGAAATTTACTGTCTGTCATAATGTGTCACTTACATACTGTTCAAATGTCTTCCATTCATTGTCTGTCCTAAGGACTGTCATTTACTGCCAGAGGCGTAGCGAGGATTATCAAAAGTGTTAAGTAGAGGCTGGGTGTAATGCGAATAATGGATTTTGTTTCAAAACAACCCGTGACCAGGTTGATAATTCAAAATTTAGCCCGCGAACCCGCCCAAAATAAAATGTTGCTCAGCCACTGGGCCAGAGGAACAGGACAAGCCGCCTATCAAGGGTATGCCCTACATGCCAGGAAGTGCAATCTGCTGCGAGTAAGAGTCCTTTTCTTTTACTTACAACAGAGAGGAGACAGGGAGAAAACTCTGGACAGTTCTGACATCATAGCACTGAAGATCTTCTGTGTCAGAATTCATTGAAAGTACATGAGATAGACGTAGGTTCGCTCCCTGGCAGAGCCATGATTACTTAAAAATGACCACATAGGTCCTAAGAAGATGGGTAGGTTATGCAATATACAGGACTACCGACGGCCGACGTGATACGGACTACATCACCTTAAGAAGAAGCTGTTATGTCTATAAAATACAGGACTAGCCCTTTACCCTACACCTAAAGGCGTGGAAAAGAGTCCTTAACCTTAAGAAGAAGGTTTGATGGATATACTACCAATACCACACACAGATTATAAGAAGCACGGACTAATACCACATAGCCTAAGAAGATGGAGGTTATAGATATACAGGACTACCGACACCACATGGCACGGACTAACCTTAAGAAGAAGGTTATGGATATACAGGACTACCGACACCACATGGCACGGACTAACCTTAAGAAGAAGGTTATGGATATACAGGACTACCGACACCACATGGCACGGACTAACCTTAGAAAGAAGGTTATGTATATACAGGACAACCGACACCACATGGCACGGACTAACCTTAAGAAGAAGGGTTATGGATAGAGGACTACCGACACCACATGGCACGGACTAACCTTAAGAAGAAGGGTTATGGATATACAGGACTACCGACACCACATGGCACGGACTAACCTTAAGAAAAAGGGTTATGGATAGACAGGACTACCGACACCACATGGCACGGACTAACCTTAAGAAGAAGGTTATGGATATACAGGACTACCGACACCACATGGCACGGACTAACCTTAAAAAGAAGAAGGTTATGGATATACAGGACTACCGACACCACATGGCACGGACTAGCCTTAAGAAGAAGGTTATGGATATACTGGACTACCGACACCACATGGCACAGACTAGCCTTAAGAAGAAGGTTATGGATATACAGGACTACCGACGCCACATGGCACGGACTAACCTTAAGAAGAAGAAGGGTTATGGATAGACAGGACTACCGACGCCACATGGCACGGACTAACCTTAAGAAGAAGAAGGGTTATGGATAGACAATACTACATGGCACTGGCTAACTATAAGAAGAAGGTTGTCGACAGACATTCTCTGTGTGGGTTCTAGGGCCCAATTGGAGGAAAACAAGAATAACCCACTGCCTCCCCAACAAGCATGTCGTATGAGTAGCCTAATCAGAGGCTTCCTTTGAAGTTCGGAGTGCATCTGTCCTAGTTGCAAGGAACAGATAGCTGCACACAAATAGGCCAGTAAAACATATCTTCTTCTTCTTCTTTTGTTGTCTCACTGTTACCAGGTTGTAACCCAGTTTCGTGGTTTTCAGTATTTGTCTTGTGCTTCTTGGGTGGTTTGAGTGATGGATATGTTTCAACTTTTTGTATGTGTCAGCTACACCATTTATCCATCTCTTTCTTGGTCTTCCTCTTGCCTTCCTCCCAGATGCTCTACTGTAAAAAGTCTCATATGCAGTTTGGTCTGGCTGCATTCTAACTAGATGGTTGAATTATTTTATTCTTTGTCTGTCAATATAATCCAGACATTGTCTTATTCTAACTTTCTCTCTAATGCTGGTATGCAAAACCCTGTCTCGTATACAGATTGTCCATGTTTGGCACTGATAACATAAAGTATGGATAAAGATGCTATTAATCATTTGCTGTTTTGCTGGAAGAGAGACATTTGGGTGTCTAAGCAGTTGGGCTAACCATCTGAGGCAAAGTTCGAAATGATATTATCAGACAGACTGTGGGAACAACAGCACGTAGCAAATTAGCTGAGAAACAGAAGATGAAATGGTTTGGTCATCTCGTTAGAAACTAAACAGAACAACTACCAACGCAGGCACTAAACATGAAAAGATCTGATGTGAAAGCAAAAGGCCGCCCTAAGAAAAATGTATGGGGACATTAAAGAGTAGCTACATCGACACAGAATGACAACAGCCATTACTGCCCATCAAGCTAATGGATCACAAACTGTTCCTCCCCACAACACTTAGGGGCAGAAGTGGAAATTGATGATGATGATCATATTGATTACAAACTCAAGAGTGTCTCTGCCTGGGAGGCGAGGAACCAAGAGTCACAAAAACACAAAACTCAAAAGTTGTGGAACACGACCAGCCCAGAAGTGGACCAGAAATTCCGCCTGAATTCACAGCTGTTGAATGCTAAGAAACAGAAGAAGAAGCTGTACAGATGACTGGGTTTGTCTCATTTTGTTCATGTACTCGTTCAGTGAACCAGGCAGTAAAGATGACAACAGATGCTCAACAAGATAAAAGTCGTAATATGTACTTCAGTCAAAAACTAGGCTCATTACTGCAGCATCACAGAGGATTTATGTGACATCTACTCGCTGGCACGGCAGGAATTATTTCAACAACAAAGCAGTTAATAAGCTTTGCTGTGTATTGATTCAAAATAAAAGGGGCGTCACACAAAAGATGTAAAAGCAATGGAGTCGCTTCAACATGGTAAAACTCTTACATATGTAATTGAAGACTCACATAGCTTAATAATCAATGATAATAAGAATGGAGCGAGTGATATTTTTTAAATTATTAACAAACAAAATGACAAAATATGTATGGTTTCTTTCATTTAAGAGGGAGAAAGAATATGCTTTATCAAAATAATTGTGATTTGCAGGCAATTTCCTGAAACTTATTTGATAAAAATGTAATGTAGAAAACCAAGAATAGCTAATGAACAAGAAAAGCATTTCTAAGATTTGAGAAAACATAATAAACACAGAACTTTTATTATTCCACAATTTACTGCCCACTAATGGAGTTGAGTTGAGTCGAGTCAAGAATTGACATCACAGCACTCAGGGTGCTCCCATGCATGCTCCGTCCTCATCTTCAGCAGCCAGTGCAGAGTTCCAGTATTGATGGTACCGGTCACGATCTGGTTAAAAGTCAGACCCTTATCTGCCAGACACTTTGGTTACACCCAGGTGCCTCATTCTCTCCAGTCCATAATAATCTTCTTTCTCTGCTGATTCCGTTGCTTGTTCCCTAAAGAGCTTTGACCACATCTGCCTTGTCGTATATCAATTCACCACCCAGTGGTGCAGATCCAGCCAATCTGTCTGCCTGTTCATTACTCACCATGCTGGCATGGCCTGGAGGCCTTTCCAGTTAAGCTAGCCACTCTGCTCGAAGCATCCCTGTCTTCACCTTTTTCAGCATGCTTTCAGAGTCTGTTACAATTACGACATATTGCCCACTAATGGATTGGCCCTCAACTCAAATCACCCATATTTTATATACATAATTATTTACACCATCAAATGCAAGAGATATAACATGATACACATTGGTTCCCCGTGTGGGTTCTGCGGCCCTATTATAGGGAAAACAAGAATAGACCCACTGCCTACCCAAAAGCATGTCGTAAAAGCCGACTAATTGGGAGCTTCATTTAAAGTTGGAGTACATCTGCCTGAGAGGCAAGGAACCAGCAGTCTGCATACAAATTTGTCAAATCTGTCAAACAGATGCACGCGCAAGACTCAAATTCTGGAACAAGACTGCAGTACAGAAGTGGACGAACACCTAAACTTTTCCACCAGAGTTTACAGCTGGTGAAGGAGAAGAAAAAAGATACACATTGGTGAAATAGGTTTATGACTAGCTGACAGGTTCAGAAATTTTTTTGGATGTTCAGAATTGTGCCCTGAAACCAGTACCAATGCACTTTAATTCCCAGGATCACCATGGTGTTCATGACAAGAAGGTGACAGTCATCAAATCTAGCCACTCCAGCGACAGAGTCCACAAGTCTTTTGAGAATTGCCTTAATTTTCCCCTTGGGGACCCAAACACCTAGGGCGACTGAACTGTCAGCAGTTTCCTCTAAAATTCTTGAGTTATGGCCCTTGACATTCCCAAGCTACTTATTCTTGGGCCACACGTGTTTCTTCATTCCTCTGGCAAGACGTCAAAATGGCTGCTTGGGGATACATCAGTTAAGTGATCTTTGTGTATTCATGTGGTTTTGCTTGAATAATGTTTGTGCAGATAAAGGCTTTGTAGCCACAACATTCACTTTTGTGTTTGCTATATTGTGCTGATCTACTTTTCATTCAGTTTTATATCTTTCCATCAATGCTCTCAAAGAACACCGAATGATCAGATGGTTTGGGAAACAATGGTGAATTGGCAACCTTGATAAGACGACAAGAAATTCATGTCAAAAGAAATATTGCCAGACAAGAACAGACAGGTAGCCACAGAAGAATAGTAAACCAACAGAGTATTTGTGTTATCAGTCGCCACTGCGCTGAAGAAGATTCTGAAGATGGGATCTGAGTGCTTATGGACGTGCCCGATGGGCAAAGAGGATGATCAGTTGATTAACTAACTATCATCAATACTGTATGGACTTCACAGTATAGTCTGGCAATACCTCCTCTTTTGACATGAATATCTTGTTGTCTTGTCAAGGTTGCCAATTCACTGTCATCTCCTAAAATCTACCCATCCTTGATAAGCAGTGAGAACATTGCTTTTTCTTTGCCTACTGCCTTTGCCTTGAGGGTCAAATGTTGAATTAAGAATTGACATCACAGCACTCGGGACACCCCCATAAGCGCTCCGTCAACATCTTCAGCAGCAAGCGAAGAGTGCAAATTCTGATGGTACCAGTAATTGTCTGATTGTATTTCTGTCCTGCAATTACCCGGAGTGTCGAGCCTCTGCCATATTCCCTTGTAACCCCTCGCAGTGCCATTCTCCTCAGACTGTAATGATCTATCTGTTCCTGGGCACTGTTCCCTCACTCCCAAAAGGGCCCACACAACATCTAGCTTGTGATACATAGGTTCACCACATAGTGGTGCAGAACTGGCAGTCTATCTGCCTGCTCACTGCCCAATGCACCGGCATAACCCGGAGAAAATATCCTTGAGGTCAAGATAGGCGACTCTGTAATCAACATGGGACACAACCAGTAGAGGTACCTTGGTATGGCTGAGACAGAGGACTGAGCATACATATGTAGCGATGCCACTTGTAATAACATAACGAATACGGAAACACATATTACAACTTTGGTGACTTACACAGAAACTGCACGTGCCATTCCGGCTGGTTGTAATGCTCTGAAGCAACGGAAGCTGTGTTGAGGAATACAAGAACAATAACCACCCAATAAAACAGCTGGCTTTTCACCAGACGTCGTATGGAGTAGCGAAACCGCTTCTCTGCTTGCCAGAAGTCTGCACATTTGCCAGTTGTTTTTCTTTTCTTCAAGCTTTTAATACAGGAATTTCCTAGAAGAAGGAAAAACAAAGATATTTAATAAATATGTCAAACATGGCTATAGTTATATTATTACTGCATATATATATATTTTGTCTGTATCTGGGAAAAGGATATGTTGTGGGTAAGAAATATATTTTGAACAGTTTTCCGTCTCTTTTTTGTCTGCCTTATTCTTTTTAATGTTTTCTCTCTTTCTTGTGTGTATGTTTGTTTGATTTTTATTCTGCCTGCCTAACTTCTTTTTTTCTTATATCACATCTTCTTTAACTGCCTGTTCTAGAACCTGTGATTTTACAAAGTCATTTATGTTTCATGTCTGCAATTGCTTTTTGAACAGTCAATGCTTATATCAGCGTAAAATTCACAGCAAGGCAGTCAACAAGAATAATAAAATGTCTCACTAACAAACTGAAACATAAATGTTAAAATGCAAAGGAGCAAACCTGGTGTCATGGCTGCCAACAAGTCATCATCATTGTGCTCATGATCATTGTCGATATCGTCTCCTTTCAACTGTTTCATTTTCCTAGCTGCTGCCTGCCTGCGAGCTGAAAATATGATCCCAACATGCCAGTTAGTTATTTACGTAAATGCCTTAACTGTTAACACACATGTTTTTATACTGAAAGTCGGAAGCCAAGAGGATTTGATCCCATATGGCTAAGTCTCTTTCTGGAGAATAGCTAGCTGCCTGCTGAGAGTGTCACACAAAGTACAAACACTGCAGCTCCGTCAAGGATTCCCAGAGGTGTCTAGAACATTTTCACTGGTGAGCTGAACAATGCAGCCTTGAACCTTTGACTTTCAGAGCGCAAGGCAAACGGTCAAACGACTGTGCTGCTGAGCCCCCCACCCTCAGCAGCCCCCCCCCCCCGTGAGCTCATCTACAAGAGGTCCTGCGTCTGTTACACCCATCTGGAGATAATCCACAACATTCTGCACCCATTTTCTCTTTGGCCTTCCTCTTCCTCTCTTCCCAGGCATATACCCCTCCATTAGTGTTCTCTCCAAACTTTTACGAAAGATCATTCTTACCTTCTATAATTTTTAATTTCTCTTCATCACTGGTTCTCTCTTCACTCAGAATCACTTCCTCTGAGGAAAAGAATGAAACAATTCTTTGTATACAATTTGAAAATGTGGCTTATGTATACATTTTATTCAACTACCACTTCCACTACCACAATCAACATTATAATCAGGTGATTTACAGTTTGGTCGTTTTCCACATCTTGCTATCTTTCTCTCTCTCTCTGTATCTCTCTCTCTCACTCACTCTCTCTCACTCTCTCTATCTCTCTATCTGTATCTCTCTCTCTCTATCTCTTTCTTTCTCTCACTCTCTCTATCTCTCTCTCTCTGTATCTCTCTCTCTCTCACTCTCTCTCTCTCTATCTCTTTCTTTCTTTCTCTCACTCTCTCTCTCTGTATCTCTCTCTCACTCTCTCTCTCTCTCACACACGCGCATGCACACACACACACACAAAGTAGTGTGCTAATATTTGTATGCCATGATAAAGGGCTGCAAAGAATCATCTGTTGATGTTCACCATGAGGATTTAAGGGGGTCCCACTTAAGGGGGAGGGCAGGAGAACAATCCACTGCCACTTTCACCCCCCCCCACCCCCCCACCCCTACCCGCATGTTGTAAAAGATAACTAATTATAGGTTGTTGTTTTTTTCGAAATCATGGAAACAAAAACATTTAGACCCAGGGGGTTCCGAGACTGGGAATGAAATGACAAGTGACTATAGTAGTCAAATTAACAGATAACACTCTTACTAAAATTAGATGGAAAAGTTAAAGACAAGCTGACAAAAGGCAGACAGTGCTACAAGTGGGAGGGTAAAATCAAGAGTTGGACTAACAGCAGTTTGAGAGACTTCAGGCAGAATGTGTTAAGAATCCATTGCCACCACCCAACAGATGGCACCTGACTGATCACTTTTCCATTGAACTCCCAGTGTGAACAAGCAACAGATGGTTTACAACTCAAGTATTATAATCTTATTCATCATCATCTAACAGGATCTCATAGGACAGACCAATACAAAACAAGCTTGTTGTACCCAAAAGATCATCTGTGGAACCAACTTCCACAGCCAATAAAAAATATCAGTAATCCCTACACATGCAATCATTGAAAACTATTTGAATGTTATCTTAACACAGACCATATGCCCCCGTAAAGTTTTAAACATATTATCCCCCCCCGCCCTTTTCCACCACAAATTTGTTACACGTACTATACTTAATGCAGCTTCCCCAGCTTAGGTGTTGAGAGCCAGACTCATAATTCCAACGTACAGTCATCGAAATCCACTTCTGGCTGTGTGGAATTTTATCATGGTGTGGGGCATCGCAGGTCGACCCAGCCTAAAATGGGTACCAGGATGTATGTCTTGGGGAAGTAAAGACGGCCGGCCTAATGCTGACCACATTACCCACCTAGTGCCGATTGGTCTGTAAAAATATGTGTGCTCTTCCCATATGCCCGATGCGCCTAAGGTGTGAAAAGGGATCTTTACGTTTTACTACTTTACTATACTTAGTATAGTATAGTAAAGGCCAAACCTGGTCCCTAACAAGAGCACAGGAGAAAAAGATCACGACGTGCGAAATGAGATGCTTACGTAAGGCTGCCAATACCACAAGGAGAGACAAAGAGTTCGAAACGAGAACATTAGATCAATTGTAGGAACCACACCATGCCTGCAATACATAAAGAAGCAACAAATAGAGTGGTTTGGCCACTTGATGCGAATGCAAACCGATCAACTGCCTCTACGAGCATACAACGAACAGCACTACTGCCCTAGAGCAAGAGGCAGACTGAGAGTACGATGGATAGACAATTTATCAGAGATCCTGAGGCAACAAGGACTAACAACAACACGTGCAACACACCTGGCCCAGGATAGAAAACTGCGACTCCCCACTACGCTGTGAGGCAATTGTGGACAAGACAAGACAAGACAAGACAAGACTATACTTAGTAATATTACTATTTAGAAATGTAGGCATAATAATTCTTGTTTACCGTCAAGGTAAAAACAGGCAGGAAATTACAACCACACTACAACACGAACTGGACAGACTTAGTGAGTGGTGCCAGGAATCAAGAGCTCAAGTAAACCCGTCCAAAGCCTCCTTAACATGGTTCTCTCTAAATACTCACATCGTCAATACACCAACGCCAGTCGTAAGCATATGTGGTGTGGACATTGAGAGAACGGACACCATGAAATACCTGGGTATGACATTTGACAGATGCTTGTCATACAAATGCCACGTAGACAACGTCATACTTAGAGCCAGAAAAGGTCTGACAGCACTCAAGGTGCTAGCAGCAGCTGATATTGAACAACGCCTACTTTTCCTTCTCTATCAAGGGCTTGTGCTTAGCGTCATTGACTATGGTCTTGGCCTCCTCACTGTCAGCAAAACCCAGCTAGAAAGACTGGACCGAGTACAAAATGAGGCCATGAGACTCATACTCGGCTGCACAAAAGACACCTCCTGCAACGCCATGCGTTATGTCCTGGGTTTGCCAACGATGACTAGCAGATACAAAGTGGCACAAGTCAAGGCTTACATGAGGGTATCGGCAGACGCTAACCACCCATTGCACAAAGCTATATACGACACAAAAGGAATGCGTCTCAAAAGAGGCCGCTCTTGGATGGCAAAGGCTGAGAATTTGATCCAGCAGGTATGTGACCTACGCGTTATCAGGCACGGAAAAGAATGGATGAATACACCAGTAGACATGCATGGCATCTCTAAGGTTGTCATCACACTAGGAAGGTACTGTCGGGATCAGATTCCTGCGGCGGCATAGACACAGAAGTAAGGGAACTGATAGATCAGCATTCAGACCCAGAAGATATCATCATCTACACAGATGGGTCCGTGAAGCGCGGATCAAGGTCAGCATGGGCATACACAGCGCAAAGAAGGGGGAAAACAATACATGAGGACAGCGGCGCTTACCAGACAACCACGTCAAGCATGACCATGGAAATAGCCGCTGCTTCTAGAGCTTTAGCATGGGTATCCGAGCAAACCGCCACCCACAAGCAGTAATTGTCTCAGACTCAATGAATATGCTTCAGAAAATAGCAACAGGCAGTATGCGCTCTGAATGGATAGAAAGCATTCGGAAATCGCACTTAACTTCCGTAACCTGGATCTACACACCGGGTCATGCGGGCGTAAAGGGAAATGAGCGAGCGGACCAACTGGCAAGCACAGCACTAATGATTGCGGGAAAAAGCATGGACAGAGCAGATATAGTTAACGCTGTACGTACTGGGCTAGTGGATAATATCGAATCCCTGACACTAACACGATTGCGTGACATGGGAGTTAAGCATGGTGAAGCACGTCTTTGCCGTCTGCGAGGCCGAGAAAGGAGACAATATAACCAGCTTCTCATGGGGACAATTAGTAGAAGTACTTTGGAGTGGCTGCTGCTTCGGAGGACTGCGCACGCATGGGTATGCCCAATGTGCAGTGACGTCGATTGTGATAACAAAACACAAAAAATAACATTTTATAGGAAGTCGGCATTCTGAAACCCAAGTTCAAGGTGTCTCCTTTGTGCCAAAGAACTGCATGGCTGTTGGGTGAACAGTCGTTAACGAAGGCAGTCAGGTCGTTGTAGGGGCGACGCCTGCTGGTGGATGTAATGTCCTAAGTCCCTTTCCCAGCTAATAGTGAGGGTACTGCTGGGGTGACCATTTGTTAACCCCTCACATAATGCTTCAAGTCACAGTGGACACTAGGCACGACCACTTTTTTTTTTTTTTTTAAAGCCGTGGCAGTTCTGCCAGGCGGTGGCCGTTGCATTTTTGCTCCATTTGTAGACTGGAAGGATATAGTTTCGTCACCCAGCTTCTGAGTTGAGTGCATGGTGTGACACTGTGAGCTACGAGTGTTTTTCGTTGGCACAGGAGCGGAGCAACAATGGGGTGACCCGTTTGCTATGATGCTGAAACTAGGATTACCAGATTACCAGATTACATCCCAGAAATTGTGATTAGGAATTACATGTAGCTGTGTATTACTTTTTATGCTAACTGATATGTGAATGTAATAATGGATATAAGGAGTAAGGCCCAAAGGGCAGTATAAAAAAAGGCCTGCGTGCCCATTTCTTAACCCTCTAAAAGTAAAGTTTGTTCATTTGTTCATCATATACGTAAGTGTCCTGTTGTGTCATTATATGTCACATAGGGCTTACAGTCTATTTCTCCCTTTCATTTCATCCTGTGCAATCGCTTTGATATCATGGATGGAATCTGGTCCAGCACCTCTAGGCTCTCTTACCAATGTTCATTTGAGGATTTCTTTAGGATGTCCTCATCATATTTATGTCTTTCCTTGGCTTGTTTCCCATGAAACCTGCCAGCTGTCACCAAGTTTTTAAGTGTTTTTCTTCTCATAACACACCCATTGAATCTTATTAAACTACTCTAAACAATCTGATATTTTTTTATATGCTTGTACTTAGAAAGCAGAAAGAATACAGACAGGCAGGCAGGCAGGCAGGCAGGCAAATAAAAAGGTATGTAGTAGGCAGGTAGGTAGACAGGCAGGCAGGTGGATGGATAGACAGACAGACAGAAATCAGATGGATGGATAGACAGGTAGGTAGGTTGGTAGGCAGTAGGCAGCTGGGTAGGTGGATCAAGCAGACAGACAGACAGACAGACAGACAGACAGACAGACAGACAGACAGACAGACAGACAGACAGACAGACAGACAGACAGACAGACAGACAGACAGACAGACAGACAGACAGACAGACAGACAGACAGACAGGCAGGCAGGCAGGCAGGCAGACAGACAGGCAGACAGACAGACACACAGACAGACAGACAGACAGACACACAGACAGACACACAGACAGACACACAGACAGACACACAGACAGACAGACACACAGACAGACACGTCAGCTGTCATGCAAGCGGCAAGGCAGGTTGGAAGGAAGGCAGGTAAACAGATAGGCAGCCTCTGTGTATTGAGCATGAAAATGCCTCAGGGTGGCTTTCTAACGACTGAAGCCATACTGCCCCTATGTTGATGAGATCCTCATGTGACCTCCTGCCTTTTTTTTTTCTGTTTTTTAACATTGCAAATGTTTTGCACTAAATTTATTACAACTGCTTTGGTTTATTGAGGTCAGAAATGTAGATGAAATTCGTGCACATTCCAGTGCTTCTATATAATATTTAGCTGTTGCCGATATTTTTACTATTGAAGACATGTGAATGAAATGACAAATTAAAGAAATGATGTATGAAAGAAATGATGTTTGAAAGAAATTATGCATGAAACAAAAGATTTTTGAAAGGATGGAGACTAGAAGGGCAGAATGTTGCACAGGTCTGCATGCCCAGTTATTAATTCTTTGAAAATTATGGTTGTTAGCTCAATTTGCTCTGTGACTGCCAATCACTAATGAAAATTTGTTTACTATACATGATAATGATGATAATAACCACAATAAAACACTCACCAGCTTTACATATCCACTCCAAATACCCATTCAGCTCTCTCTCTATCTGTTGCTGCCTGCGAAGCTTGAAAAAGGCCCTGCGGTTTTCTACCCTTTCTCTCTCTTTGGCAAACTCTCTACAAAATGAAAATTACGAAAGTATTTTTTGTAACCAACATTACTGCAGTCAGAGTACTGCATGTCACTTCAAGTAAGAGAAACGCTTGATGTTTAACTCTTTGAGTCCCAAACAACTCGCCATGCATTCCTTTTTCATTGGAATGAAAATATGATAATATTATTGCCTTTCATAAGAGACAGATGTAATATCAACCCATCATCCCTGGGTGGGTTCCTCAGCCCTCTTTTGGGAAAAACAAGAATGACCCACTGCCTACCCAAAAGCATGTCATAGGAGTTGACTAACTAGGAACTTCTTTCAAAGTCAGAGTGCATCTGCTTGAGAGGCAAGGAACCAATCTTCTGCCTAGAAAATGAGTCAGATCTAAAGCCCCCTGACAACAACTAGTAAAATGCTGCATGCGGTTGGCCGGTCACTAGGCTTGACACCCCTGCAACATAGCACTAGGCCTGCGACCCAGCAATTTATAATTTGGAAGGGAAGTCACTCTCTTTCTGGCCTGAAAACGTGAGTTATAATCAGGTTAAAATAAAAATGGGTTGGAAGTGAAAGAGAAAATCCTTTTGGGACCACAGATTTTGTATTTTGTCTGTTCAGTAGACTGAATTTTCTTTGATTTTTCTGAAACTTTTACTGATGAAATATCAGCTGACTGCAAATTTCTAAAGAAATTTTGTCCTCTGATGTAGTGTAAAGTTAAGGCTTCAGCCATAGAGGGATTGTAGTCTATTTTATAGACCAGTTGGCACTGAGTGAGTGATGTGGTCAATATCATGCCAGCCGCCCTTACTTCCCAAGACTTTACCTGGCACCCGTCTAAAGCAATCTGGGAGCCAAGGTCATTTTTGAAACACATCTGGGAGCCAAGGTCATTTTAGAAACAGATTTGAGAGCGAAGGTCATTATTGAAACAGATCTGGGAGCCAAGGTCATTTCTGAGACAGATCTGGGAGCCAAGGTCATTTCTGAAACAGATCTGGGAGCCAAGATCATTTCTGAAACAGATTTGAGAGCCAAGGTCATTATTGAAACAGATCTGGAAGCCAAGGTCATTGAAACATCTGGGAGCCAAAGTCATTTTTTTTATTTGCTATAGTGCAGTGAGTTTTTAAACAGATCTGGGAGCCAAGGTCATTTTTTTCAACAGATCTCGAAGCCAAGGTCATTTCTAAAACAGATCTGTGAGCCAATGTCATTTTAGAAACAGATTTGAGAGCCAAGGTCATTATTGAAACAGATCTTGGAGCCAAGGTCATTTCTGAAACAGATCTGGGAGCCAAGGTCATTTCTAAAACAGATCTGGGAGCCAAGGTCATTACTGAAACAGATCTGGGAGCCAAGGTCATTTCTGAAACAGATTTGAGAGCCAAGGTCATTATTGAAACAGATCTGGGAGCTAAGGTCGTTGAAACATCTGGGAGCCAAAGTCATTTTTTTATTTGCTATAGTGCAGTGACTTTTTAAAACAGATCTGGGAGCCAAGGTCATTTTGAGGTTCAAATTTACAGATTTTTTTTAAATAATTCAGCCAGGCTACCAGGACAAAAGGAGTACAGCAAAAAAACCTGGGAGGTAAAGGCATCCAACATGAGGCTGATTACACTACTCATCAACATGTAGACCTAGCACCTTACTAAATTCGTTAGTAGCATGGAAAAAAAGGTTCTTAACTTGACTTTTATGTAAAAGTGTAACAGGAATATACATTTATAACATGAACGTACAGTTATAACATGAACATATGGTTACAATATAAACATACAGTTATAACATGAACATATACAATTATAACAGTAACATTTAAAATAATACGAACATTAACAATAATAACATGAACATATATAATTATAACAGAAACAATGATAACATGTACATATACAAATGAACAAATTTAATTACAACATGAACAAACATAATAAGCACAATTATAGCATAGATATATTGACATAATATTTAATATATGACAATTTAATGACCGGTGTGATGCTGACCATATCACCCATCTTGTGCCGATTGGTCTATAAAATATAGGTCTAGCCCTATATGCCCTATATGCCTTAAAGTGTGGAAAAGGGTCCTTTTTTTTACTTACTATTAAATGAACATTAAATTAATATATAATATGATCACAGACATATATAACACAAACATATTAACACAACATGAACATTAACAATAAAAAAAAATATCAGTTGGCAAAACAGAAGATGAGATTGATGACAGATGTAACAAAGTAAACCAACTCACTGGGCAAATGGTACACATACTAAGAAACAAACATGTATCAATAGAAACTCAAAGAGCACTTTATGATACAAACAACCATGAATCAATAGAAACCCAAAGAGCACTCTAAGATACAAATAACCATGTATCAATAGAAACCCAAAGAGCACTCTTTGATACAAACAACCATGTATCAATAGAAACCCAAAGAGCACTCTATGATACAAAACAACCATGAATCAAAAGAAACACAGAGGGCATGTATCAGTAGAAACCCAAAGAGCACCCAATGATACAAACAACAATGTATCAATAAAAACCCAAAGAACACTCAATGATACAAACAACTATGTATCAAAACAAACACAAAGAGCACGTATCAGTAGAAACCCAAAGAGCACTCTATGATATAAACAACCATGTATCAATAGAAACCCAAAGAGCACTCTATGATACAAACAACCTTGTATCAATAGAAACCCAAAGAGCACTCTATGATAAAAAACAACCATGTATCAACACAAACACAATCTATGACACAATCTATGACACAATCTTCTTGCCAACTCCATATTATCAATGCCAGGCCTGGACAATGACAGAAAAAGAGAAAAGAAAAATTAAACTGAAATGAGATTTTTGTTAAGGGCTCTCAATATAACAAGATGAGATAGACAGTGATGATGAAAGACAAGACAAAGGTGAGATGGTTTGGCCATATAATGCTGATGTCAGGAGACAGAATACCACAGTAATCAGTCATGTACAGACCAGGTGGGAAGTGAAGAAGAGGCAAACCTTGCAAGCAATGGATGGAGGGAGTCTCTTGGAATCCCAATTTTTGATTTAATATCCAGAAACCATGAGTTGTTGTTAACCCTTTGGCTCGGTACTATGGATATCGCAACCCTTCGGCCTTGATTCCATGATAGATACCGTAAATCTGGGAGAAATATGGCTTTTCTGCCTACCCCAGGGCATGAACCTGACCACAAGGAGTTTGTCACCCGTTTGCTGCAAAGTCAGGTTTAATAAACAGGTTATTTTCCATAAATTATATTTCACATTGACCACGCAAGGTACCGGAGGATCAAGATGAAATGAGACGATGAACACACACAGTTGTAAAATGAACATATAATATGAAATTTTGCAATTATAACATTAGGGTTTCAAATGAACATATAAAATTATAAAACAAACATATTCAATTATAACATGACCAATTAAAGGTATAACATGAACATACAAAAATTACAAATAACTTACCCACTAAGTACACCCAACACTAGATTTAGCATGAAGAACGAGCCGAGAATGATGAGCGGTATAAAATATAAAATGTTGTACAAATTTCCTAAGGCATCATTTGTCTGTGGAGTTAAAAAAAAAGAGAAATCAGTCTTTCAGAAATGAAACAAAAATATAAAATAAATTTTTCCTTGTCTTTCAGCTCTCTCTCTCTCTCTCTTTTTTTTTTAGTGTTTCTTACTTCTTTCCTCCACCTTTAAACAAAAAATTTGATTTGTTCTGTCTTTGTTGTGTTTTTTTTAAACTTGTACAAACTATTATTATGCGATAGACAAATTATGTTTGTTAACTTTTTAAAAGTTTAAAACAAACACAGGAAATGTGTTCAAAGAATAAAAAATAAGAAAATCAATGTTTAATCAGCCCCTGTTAAATAGAATATGATTACTAAGGAAACAAAAGTGGAGGCATGAAAGAAAAGACAATATTTTGCATGCTGCATTAACTCTTGCAAGATTGGAAATCAAAGAAAAAACTAAACAAAACTAAAGACAACATGGTTAATAAGTTTGTTTCTGGACAAATGGTAAAAATATGTATTGTGGTCAATATGCTTGAGCAGGCAGTTATGAGGAATTTGAGAATGAGAAAGGAACTTGCTATCTTACAATAATGTGACCTAGTATATTTGAGGCACTATCAAATGTGAAGACCATCGCACAATAAGTCTTATGAGTCACATGACTAAGATTTTACTGAGAATAATTATGAGAAGAATAAGAAACAAAATTAAACCAGAAATCAGCGATGAACAATGTGGATTTGTAGAAGGAAAAGGTACAAACAATGCCATATACATCCTAAGGACATTGTCAGAAAAAGCTATAGAAGTAAAGACTGATTTGTACATATGCTTCATAGACTATACAAAAGCGTTTGACTGTGTGAAGCATGAAGAAGTAATCAGACTGTTAGAAAAATTAAACATTGATTGGAAAGATCTACGAATAATAAAGAATATGTATTGGCAGCAAACAGCAGCTATAAGAATGAACAACTGTTTAGGTGCATTTCAAAGCATAAAGAGGGGCGTACAAGGATGTGTACTGTCACCTGATTTGTTTTCAATATACAGTGAATATATAACGAGAGCTTTAATTGATATGCCTGGAATTGTGGTTGGTGGGCACAATATAAACAATTTACGTTATGCTGATGACACAGTCTTGATAGCCATAAGTCAGAAAGAACTACATGAAATAATAGACATTGTGGTGTTAGAAAGTGGAAGAATGGGCCTCAGTTTGAATAATGGGAAAACAGAAGTAATGGTGGTATCGAAGAAACGAATTATTCCTAAGTGTGTAATAAAAGTTGATGGTGTTATTTTAGGACAAGTACAGAAATTTAAGTATCTGGGCACATAGATAACATCAGATGGAAGATGCATAACTGAGATAAAAAATAGAATAGGACAGGCAAAAACTGCATTTGATAAAATGAAAAACATCTTGTGCAATATATCCTAGTCATTGAGAGTTAGAAAAAGAATTCTTGCTAGCTACATAAATCCAGTTTTAACATATGGCTGTGAATCCTGGACAATCAGTAGGCAGGCCAAACAATTTATGGAGGCCTCAGAGATGTGGTTTTACAGAAGAATGCTTAGAATACCTTGGACAGCCAAAAAGAGCAACCAAGAGATTTTGAAAGAGGCGGGAGCCTGAAGACAACTTATCACAGACATCAGAAGGAGACAGTCATCATTTTTCGGCCATGTTATGAGAAGAGGGAAAATAGAACATCTTGTGACCACTGGAAAGATATGTGGAAGGAGAGACAGAGGAAGACAACGAGAGAAGATGCTTGACAGTCTTGTTACATGGCATGGAGATGTGTCCGGACACAAAGTGATACATGCTGCAGGAGATCGCAGATTATGGAGAGGCATGATGGCCCACGCCAGTCGGCAAGGCACCTGATTATGATGATGATGAGTATATATGAAGCTGCAAAATATTTACCAGTGACAGATTTGCGGTTTCTGAGAAGAATAAAAAGAAATATAATGGAAGGACAGAAAAAACAAATAAAGCAATCCTAGTAGAGATAGACGAAAGTTGTAAACTCATTACAACAGTTGGATGCAGACAATACTTCCAATCAAAATGGAGATTAGACTTGTTCCCTGTTTAAAGTCATGGAAAGATTATTTCTGACAGATGGTGGACGTTGCATTTTCCTCCATTTATAGACTGAAAGGATATCGTTTTGTCGCCCAGCTACTGAGCTGAATGTATGGCATGACACTGTGTGCCTGCAAATTTAATTTGGAATGTATTTTTTAAAACTATTACCAATGTGGAGCTGTGAACAGTAGATTAGGAAAATAGTGAGTGGCCTTTTGTCACAGAAATGGTGGTGCCTTATGCCTTAAAATTAATTGTGTGTGCAACTACTGATCTGTTTGTAAATGCTGCTTCTGTCAGTGATGAACTGCATTTCTTATGTCAGACTGTTTGTGTTAGCACTTCTGATGGTTGTCTTATGCTTTTAATGCATGTTTATGCTAACTGACATGCTGACGCTGCAGTCTGTGTCAATTTTTCCAGAAGGGACAGAGATGGACATTCTGTGTGTCTCTAACTGGCACCGGAGCGGAGCATATGTGGGGTGACCCGTTTGTTGAGAAGCTAAAATTAAAATTTTCAGATGCAGACAATATTTTTTTGAACATGTTACGAGGAGGAATGGACTCGAGAAGCTTGTAACAACTGCCAAGATTGGTGGCAAGAGAGAAAGAGGAAGGCAAAGAGATAAACACCTAGATGGCCTAGCCAGATGGATTTGGGGGGAGGAGCGAGACAAAAACCAAGAACTGATCTGTGATTCTGGTGATTGTTTGAGAGGGCGAACATGACCTCCTATGCTCACCAGCAAGGCACATGATGATGATGATGATGATGATGATGATGATGATGATGATGATGATGATGATGATGATGATGATGATGATGATGATGATGATGATGCTGATGATGATGATGATGATGATGATGATGATGATGAGGATGAAGTAACACCAAATACTTGTGGATAACTACAGAAGCATTAATAAACATTTTCGTCTTCGAGGAATTAGTCATTTAGTGATCTCCCTCTCTCCTCATCCTCTTCTTTATCTCTCTGTTTTATTTTTTCTTCTTTTTTTCTTATGTGTATGTACATGTACCTCTCTTTCCCTCTCTACTTTGATGAGTGAGTGCTTGCAAACTGTTAATTATTATTAATTGTTGTCAGAACTATTACTAGTATGTTTAAGTGTATGTATGCATATATGCATGACAATAGTATTTTATTTATAAATGTTTGCTGGAACATAAGGGTAATGGAATATGAGAAAAATATGATAACTTTTGTACACCATTAACACATGCGTGTGAGCATATAGAGAGTCGGTAGTCTAGAACCAAAGTTTACAGTGTCTCCTTCGTGCCAAAGAACTGCATGGTTGTGGGGTGCACAATCATTAATGAAGGCAGTCAGGTCGTACAGGGGCGGCACCTTGCTGATGGGCGTAGTTACGTCTCTGGCCCCTTCCCCAGTATGAGAGCACCACTGGGGTGACCGTTAATAAACCCTCACTACAAATGGAGGCCAGGTACGGTCACTGCCGTGAGCCGTGCAAATTTTTTTGCTTCTGCCAGATGGTGGCCGATGAATTTTTGCTCCATTTGTAGACTGAAAGGACAGTTTTATCGCCCAGCTTCTGAGTTAAGTGTGTAGCGTGACACTGTGAGCTGCTGATTTAATTTGGAATGCTTTTCTACTGTGACCAATGTGGTGGTGTGAATTGTAGATTCAGAAAATGGCGCGATGCCTGTTGTAGCAATATTGGTGGTGCCATAATGTGATTAAAATTGATCGCGTGTGCAACTGCTGATCTGTTGGTGACTTCTGCTACCATCCATGATGAACTGAATTTCTAATATCAGACTGTTTGTGTTAGCACTTTGGATGGCTACAGTATGCTTTTAATGAGTGTGTTTGCTAGTGCATATGCTGAGACAGCAGTCTGTCTATCTTTCTGCAAGAAACTGTGAAAAACATTATGTGTGTTTTTAGTTGGCACAGGAGCGGAGCAACTATGGGGTGACCCGTTTGCTATGGAGCTGAAACTAAGATTACCAGGTTACCAGATAATGATTTTTTCTTCTGCATTCGACATCAGTCATGCTAAACATTGAGTCCCGCCTGGGTCACAAATAGGATTGTGCATTTAAGGTCGCCACCGGTCCCCCATAGCTTCTCTTGCAATGTGGCTCCCTTGGGCCAGATCCACAGTCTTTGCTGGGAGAAGTTAGGGCAGTACTGCAGTATGTGCTCAGGGGTCTGTCTTTCTGCTCCACAATCACAGGCAGCAGATTCTTTTATGCCTATCCTGTACAGGTGTGCTCAAAGACCACAGTGTCCTGTCCGAAGTCTAAAAATTGATGTTTGTTCTTTCCTGTTGAGTTTGTTTATGCTGTCACTCTCTGGTCTGTAATCTCCATTCTGCTTTCTCCACTCCCGCTTAAAAGACTGCTTTAGCGATGTTTTGGTTTCCTTGTAGCTGTGTGGTGGATGAGGTTGTGAAAGATTACTCCCAGCTTTTGCCAACTCATCTGCTCTCATTTCCTTGAATACCACAGTGGGCTGGTATCCACTGCAAGACCAGTTCTTCTTCCTGGGAGAGTAAGCCGATGTTGGTCCTTAGATCTGCAATTAGTTTGTCTTGTTTTTTGCTTGACAGTGCCTGGAGAACAGACAATGAGTCACTAAGTATAACAATTGTGTGCCCTCTGTATTCTTGAGTGATGAGATGTTGGACTGCAGAAAGGAGGGCAGTTGCCTCAGCTCTGAAGTTAGTGCAGATGTCACCTGCTGGTAGAGAGAGAGAGTTTCTGCTCTACTGCTAGGGGGTTTAATGTATATTCCACAGCCCCCTTTTCTGACTGCATCTGTAGCAGAGCCGTCAGTGAAAACCTGAGTCCAAGTGGTGTTTGGATACTTCTCATCTAACCAGATATATATATATATATATATACATAACCGTTGAACTGTCACAACCCTATACTAAATACATGTGATGGCAATAACAGTCTTGAAATCCCATGCTCTAATTATGGAAGACTTTATACCATGAACAGGTCATGCATCAATTCACCATTAAGTAGTACAGAAGCAGCCAGTCTATCTGTATGGTTATTTCCTAACACACCGTCATAGCTTGAAAAAAATATCCAAAGGACGCCAACTACACAGGACCTCTGAGGCGATACTTGCCACTCTGAGCGAAGCATATTCTGTCTCCATCTTTCTCAACATGCTCTGGGAGATGATGATAATGAGGTCAACATCACATTCGCACCAAAGCCACATGGTACAATCTTTAAAAAAAGCACGAGACACATAGACAAATGGACAGATGCCATAAAACATACACTTTAAAAAAGGAAGACCTGATGTGCAGAAACACTTACATAGTACAGCACATTGGTCCAGCCTTCCATAGTGATGCACTGAAACACCGTCAACATGGCAAAGCCTATGTTATCGAAGCTGGTGATTCCGTAGTTGGGACCTGCCCAGCCTGGGTGACACTCTGAGATGTTTATTTGGCACCGGAATGTTCCAGAATATTCTGAATTTGTGTTGCAAGGACGAATGTCTACTTCATCTCCAAGGTCAATGTCATCTGTTGATAGGAGAATTTTTGTATTCATTAATAAGTCATTCCCTTGTGGGTTGCAATTTTTTTGTTATTTAAAGCTCCACCCTGGCTTTTGCCGGGGGCCCCTGAATATTGCCAGACCATAAATAAGGCCTAGCCATAGATATATCCATAACGGCTGAAAGGGGTTTCTGGGACCTCTCCATGGGTGATCCTCATCTGCATGGTGGCACTTTGTGTCACCAGGTGTTTATAAAATTTGTGTGATGTCCTGGTGGGGTTAAAAGTCAGTCAGATAGGAGAAAGTAATGGATAACAATTTATGTTTACAAAACCAACCTTTTGAGCAAACACTTTGAGGGCTACCTACCAGTGACTTCTGGATGAAGATACAATGTTAGATGTAATAATCCCAATGTGAGTTCAGCAGTCCCATAAGTTGGAGTGGGGGGGGGGGGGGGGGGGGGGGGGGTGGAGGAATTGACCCACTGCCCTCTAACAAGCATGTTGTAAAAGGTAACTAATTAGGGTTAGCTGAAATTGGATGTGTTGGGTTGAAAGGTGCAGATGTCACAGCCTAGCTGTAAATCACAACACAAAGTGCCAACCTAACAATTTTAAGGTTGAACCCAGAAGAAAATGTAACAACATATATGAGGATTTGTGAAATGTGGAGTCAAGTGTGGGTCCAGAAAGGAAGGACAATGAGAGCAACAGTATCAAGTATTCACGACTAGGGGCCTGATGGTGAAAGATGTGCGAAAGCGGGACATGAATGGTAGTGGCATTGAGTAGATTCCTGAAAATTTACAAATCTTTAGCTTGTCTAAAGTAGATGGGGCAAATCAGGAAGGGGATAAGAATAACAGAGGAAAAAAAAATGTTTGAAAAAGAATGAGAGCTGAGCATCTAAGGAAAAGCATACTAGATACCAATGATGACAACAATGGTCCTTAAATTCCCATTCTCTAACTGTCGAAGACTTTTCTTAACGCGGGTTGATCCTGTTAGTCCAAGTCGCCATTGCCATAGGCTGTGACTCCCACGTTTCCCCATTGCACAATGTAACACTGTCATCCGCAAAGATGCCACCCCTATGGTGTAGTTTTCAAAGTTTAAAAAAACGTATGCTATAAAAAGATGCCGGTACAGCGTACTGCAAGTAGAAAAACCCTAACTTGGACTAACTAATTAACATAAGGTGAGTTTTGAAATTCTAGACTTTGATTGACTGAGCTACTGTAAATAGAGTTTACTCATTTCAGAGTAATTTTTATCCATTTTAAATTGTGCATAGCATGTTAAGAATCAATCAATCAATCGATCAATAAAAGTAATTCAAATAATGCAGACACTAACATTATGTTGCACATTTTATTGCTGGCCGTATTTTACTGTGTCTCAACAGGGTCATTACTGTAGAATGAATATAATGGGCGGTAGTCGATTTACGTGTCAGCTGGTGAAATACCTTATGTAATAATTTTACGTGTGTATAGCCATTTGATTGTGCTTCATTGTGACCGAGTACTTCCATTAACAACAAACTGTATGTCTGGTGGCAACGGTTGACTTTGGAGCTTCTATCAACTGCCATTTACATTTACTATATGCGCATATTTCTGGATTGTGCCCTTGACAACTGTTTGTTCGCCAGTTTTTTTCAGATGGGACAGTGAAGAACATTTCATCTGATTTTCACTGGCATAGGAATGGAGCAAGCAAGGGGTGACCCCATTGCAGTGAAGCTGAAACTCTGACTAAGAATATAACGAAACCCAAAAATTAAAATAACTGTACTGAAATACACATCGCACGGTCTCTCTTGAGACAACAAAATAAACAAAATAAAAAAGAAGAACAGTCCTTACCTTCAGTAAATGTAGTTGTACCTTTCTTAAAACAGGCACTATGAAACACCCCGACATAGAAGTCCAGCCCAATGATGGCAAAGATGACGATGGCAAACAGGACGAGGAGACAAACTTGTAAAAGTGGAGCCATCGCACGGATGATGGATTTGAGCACCACCTGCAGACCTAGCAATGAAGCGGGTTACCAGATTAATTCACTCCACACCAAATAAGCGATCAACATCTTATCAAAATGTACCAAAAACCTATCGTAAAAGTTAAATAAACACAACTTTTCAGACCTTTAGGTGTATTCAGCATATAGGGCTAGACCTATATTTTATAGACCTGATCGGCACTTGGTGAGTGATGTGGTCAGCATCATGCCGGCGACCTTTACTTCCCAGTACTGCATCTGGTACCCACTCAAGACTGGGTCATTTAAAAAAAAAAAAAAAGTTGGGTCCAACAGAACCCAAGCCCTTGATCTTTCAATCCACAGATGAGGTCTAGCTGTAACACCACGGGGACTCCCAAAAATATATCATAACATATCAAATACTTATAACGGATCCAAAATGTATCATCAAAAAAGTGAGCAGATTAAATCATTCTGTAAAAAATAACTTATTATATACAGTTTAAACATAAAAGTTGCAAACTTCATGTTCAAAAAATGTCAACCATTCCTTGTTTCTCTCCATATTCTTAGGTGTTTCTCATCATTTTGCTCACTTGTCTGTCTGTCTGTCTGTTGGTCTGTCTGTCTGTTGGTCTGTCGGTGGTTGGTCAGTCGGTCAGTGGTTGGTCAGTAGGTCTGGTCTGTCTGTCTGTCTGTCTGTCTGTCTGTCTGTCTGGTCTGTCTGTCTGGTCTGTCTGTCTGGTCTGTCTGTCTGGTCTGTCTGTCTGGTCTGTCTGTCTGGTCTGTCTGTCTGGTCTGTCTGTCTGGTCTGTCTGTCTGGTCTGTCTGTCTGGTCTGTCTGTGTCTGTCTGTCTGTCTGTCTGTCTGTCTGTCTGTCTGTCTGTCTGTCTGTCTGTCTGTCTGTCTGTCTGTCTGTCTGTCTGTCTGTCTGTCTGTCTGTCTGTCTGTCTGTCTGTCTGTCTGTCTGTCTGTCTGTCTGTCTGTCTGTCTGTCTGTCTGTCTGTCTGTCTGTCTGTCTGTCTGTCTGTCTGTCTGTCTGTCTGTCTGTCTGTCTGTCTGTCTGTCTGTCTGTCTGTCTGTCTGTCTGTCTGTCTGTCTGTCTGTCTGTCTGTCTGTCTGTCTGTCTGTCTGTCTGTCTGTCTGTCTGTCTGTCTGTCTGTCTGTCTGTCTGTCTGTCTGTCTGTCTGTCTGTCTGTCTGTCTGTCTGTCTGTCTGTCTGTCTGTCTGTCTGTCTGTCTGTCTGTCTGTCTGTCTGTCTGTCTGTCTGTCTGTCTGTCTGTCTGTCTGTCTGTCTGTCTGTCTGTCTGTTGTCTGTATGTATGTCTCTCTGTCTGTCTGTCTTTCAGACTTCACATACACAGAACACATGTATAAAAATCACATTTCAGATTTAATTTACGGTGGGCAAACAATAAAATGGTTTGAATAAAAGATCAAGAATCACAATGAATGATCAGGATTTGCCTGGAAAGATCAATAAGTGGATGAAAAGATCAAGAATGAGATAGAAATGACAAGAATCAGAATGAATGATCAGGATTTGCCTGGAACGATCAATAAATGGATGAAAAGATCAAGAAGGAGATAGAAATGACAAGAATCACAATGAATGGTCAGGATTTGCCTGGAAAGATCAATAAGTGGATGAAAAGATCAAGAATGAGATAGAAATGACAAGAATCAGAATGAAAGTTCAAGAAACAGATGGAAATATCTAGATTCAGATGGACAGATCCTAACAAAAGTATACCTCAGAGAGAAACTCATTTAGATAATGCATTCAGATTGAAATATAAATCTCAAACTCCCTCACATCTATACATAACTACACATGTGAACCACAAATAATCATCTATATAAAGAACAATAAATTACAGAAAACAGATCCATTATTGTGTGAGCCTTCTATATATAAATCTAATTTACAATATTATCTGATCTGTTTTTGTGTGCTCTTTTAAACATATTTACCCTGTTTGAAATTTCCAATGTTTGTTTTCACAAAGGGCCCCTTACTCAAAATAATTTAATGACATAAGATAATATGTATGAAAAGTTTCATCATTGTACAGACAGCATCTTACTAATTCCGATATGCCTTCTCTGCCAGGCAGGTAGAGATAGAATGAAACATGAAATTAGAAGAAGACTAGGTATGAAACAAGTCACACAATTCATTAAAGAGCAACAGATAAGATGGGTCGAAGAGTAAAATACACACTACAGAAATGCAGTAAGACATTAACACAAGCTATGCTACAAGCAAAAGACAGGAAATTACATCTACCTCTTCTCTCTGATTCTTTATAGCATAAGCAGTTGGACAAAGGACAGGAATCTATCTCTTCTCTGTGACACTTTATGGCATAAGTAGGACAAAAGACAGGAATCTACATCTAACTCTTCTGTATTGCTTTACAGCATAAGCAGTTGGACAAAAGACAGGAAACTACATCTAACTCTTCTCTGTGTCGCTTTACCGCATATGCAGCAGGAAAAACGACAGGAAACTACGTCTAACTCTGTGACACTTTACAGCATAAGCAGTAGAACAAAAGGCAGGAAACTACATCTAACTCTTCTCTGTGTCGCTTTACTACCTAAGCAGTTGGACAAAAGACAGGAAACTACATCTAAGTCTTCTCTGTGTCGCTTTACTGCATAAGCAGTTGGACAAAAGACAGGAAACTACATCTAACTCTTCTCTGTGTCGCTTTACTACCTAAGCAGTTGGACAAAAGACAGGAAACTACATCTAACTCTTCTCTGTGTCGCTTTACTACCTAAGCAGTTGGACAAAAGACAAGAAACTACATCTAACTCTTCTCTGTGTCGCTTTACTACCTAAGCAGTTGGACAAAAGACAGGAAACTACATCTAACTCTTCTCTGTGACACTTTACCGCATAAGCAGTTGGACAAAAGACAGGAAACTACATCTAACTCTTCTCTGTGACACTTTACCGCATAAGCAGTTGGACAAAAGACAGGAAACTACATCTAACTCTTCTCTGTGTCGCTTTACTGCATAAGCAGTTGGACAAAAGACAGGAAACTACATCTAACTCTTCTCTGTGTCGCTTTACTACCTAAGCAGTTGGACAAAAGACAGGAAACTACATCTAACTCTTCTCTGTGTCGCTTTACTGCATAAGCAGTTGGACAAAAGACAGGAAACTACATCTAACTCTTCTCTGTGTCGCTTTACTACCTAAGCAGTTGGACAAAAGACAGGAAACTACATCTAACTCTTCTCTGTGTCGCTTTACTACCTAAGCAGTTGGACAAAAGACAGGAAACTACATCTAACTCTTCTCTGTGTCGCTTTACTACCTAAGCAGTTGGACAAAAGACAGGAAACTACATCTAACTCTTCTCTGTGTCGCTTTACTGCATAAGCAGTTGGACAAAAGACAGTAAACTACATCTTACTCTTCTCTGTGTCGCTTTACTGCATAAGCAGTTGGACAAAAGACAGGAAACTACATCTAACTCTTCTCTGTGTCGCTTTACCGCATAAGCAGTTGGACAAAAGACAGGAAACTACATCTAACTCTTCTCTGTGTCGCTTTACTACCTAAGCAGTTGGACAAAAGACAGGAAACTACATCTAAGTCTTCTCTGTGTCGCTTTACTGCATAAGCAGTTGGACAAAAGACAGGAAACTACATCTAAGTCTTCTCTGTGTCGCTTTACTACCTAAGCAGTTGGACAAAAGACAGGAAACTACATCTAAGTCTTCTCTGTGTCACTTTACTGCATAAGCAGTTGGACAAAAGACAGGAAACTACATCTAACTCTTCTCTGTGTCGCTTTACCGCATAAGCAGTTGGACAAAAGACAGGAAACTACATCTAACTCTTCTCTGTGTCGCTTTACTACCTAAGCAGTTGGACAAAAGACAGGAAACTACATCTAACTCTTCTCTGTGTCGCTTTACCGCATAAGCAGTTGGACAAAAGACAGGAAACTACATCTAACTCTTCTCTGTGTCGCTTTACCGCATAAGCAGTTGGACAAAAGACAGGAAACTACATCTAACTCTTCTCTGTGTCGCTTTACCGCATATGCAGCAGGACAAACGACAAGAAACTACATCTCTCTCTGTGACGCTTTACCGCATAAGCAGTAGAACAAAAGGCAGGAAACTACATCTCTCTGTGACGCTTTACAGCATATGCAGTAGAACAAAAGGCAGGAAACTACATTTAACTCTTCTCTGTGTCACTTTACCGCATAAGCAGTTGGACAAAAGACAGGAAACTACATCTAACTCTTCTCTGTGTCGCTTTACTACCTAAGCAGTTGGACAAAAGACAGGAAACTACATCTAAGTCTTCTCTGTGTCGCTTTACTGCATAAGCAGTTGGACAAAAGACAGGAAACTACATCTAACTCTTCTCTGTGTCGCTTTACCGCATAAGCAGTTGGACAAAAGACAGGAAACTACATCTAACTCTTCTCTGTGTCGCTTTACTACCTAAGCAGTTGGACAAAAGACAAGAAACTACATCTAACTCTTCTCTGTGTCGCTTTACTGCATAAGCAGTTGGACAAAAGACAGGAAACTACATCTAACTCTTCTCTGTGTCGCTTTACTGCATAAGCAGTTGGACAAAAGACAGGAAACTACATCTAACTCTTCTCTGTGTCGCTTTACTACCTAAGCAGTTGGACAAAAGACAGGAAACTACATCTAACTCTTCTCTGTGTCGCTTTACTGCATAAGCAGTTGGACAAAAGACAGGAAACTACATCTAAGTCTTCTCTGTGTCGCTTTACTACCTAAGCAGTTGGACAAAAGACAGGAAACTACATCTAACTCTTCTCTGTGTCGCTTTACTGCATAAGCAGTTGGACAAAAGACAGGAAACTACATCTAACTCTTCTCTGTGTCGCTTTACTACCTAAGCAGTTGGACAAAAGACAGGAAACTACATCTAAGTCTTCTCTGTGTCGCTTTACTCCATAAGCAGTTGGACAAAAGACAGGAAACTACATCTAAGTCTTCTCTGTGTCGCTTTACTACCTAAGCAGTTGGACAA